TAAGCGAAAAATAAAAAGTGTTGAAATTTTGAATTACTGGCAGCTTACAAAAACTGTAAAACGAAAAAATCAGTACTTTTCATGTCACTCCCTCCTGATGTCCACCTCGGTAGACATTCTATATTCGGTCACCTAGGCAACTTCATTTTATTTTAAGTATCGAATGGACATAGTGAGCATTCAAGAGCTCCACTTCAGTAGTCGTCTTTCATGGATCTTCAAAAAAATACCTTTCTAGGGTAAAGGGTTAAGAATGGTTTGCACATACGTAAGGAGAAAAGAACAGCTGTACACTGATAATGATCTAAATGAAGCAATAAAATTAATCAATGAAAATAAATTCTTAAGGTTCTTAAGATATATGATACATGGAAGATGTGCAAGGAAAACAGTTCTTAACCACAGAATGTAAAAAACGCAGAGAGTGATTGTTGTAGTTGACTTTTCACGTTACAAATGATTTAGACCACACCTAAAGCTCAGGGGACTTCTATAAACAAATACATTTTCCAGTTTTGTTTATATACAGCTTGGAGAATAGGGTTTCAAGGTTGACCAGTTTCAGCCAGCCATTTCAACGGAAATTACTGAATTACCCCATTGCTTTCTGCGTGATTCTTGAATTATCCCAGATGGGGCAATTCAAGAATCGAGTTATTTGACCGGTGTCTGTTATTTCGAGAGAATCTCAGTGAGCTTTGGTCGGATAACTTGGAGTTGGATACCATTGTGTTTTGGAGAGTAAGAGGAATTCAGTGATATAAAAATCTTCTTACCAATATCTAATTATTCCTGAGATACTTAGCTTTTATAAAAATCAAAAAACATCATTCACTTTTAACGAGACTCCTGAATTGCTCCAACGAGAATTATGTATTTTCTTGAATAGCCCCCAGTGGGGCAAGAAAAATGAAAATTGAAAAATGCATACTGTGAGAGGACTGCTAATCTTCTTATTCTTTTTGGTACCGTATCAAACGTGTTTTAAATGTAGAAATGTGGCACCTCTCTCTCTCTTAAATGTAAGCTGCTCTCACGATTGAAGACGCTAGCAATTACTAGCGCGATCGGTAGCCACAAATTTTTTATCGGAAGAAAATCAATGTTTTATTAGAAAAAAAATGCTTAGTTAGTGGCACGCAATACAGACAAGGATTTGGCGTAGGCAATAGTGAGAAGTTTTGGAAAAATTGATGATCTGTATCAGAGATATACCTCTATTCGTATGTACAAAGTACAGTTGATGAGAGAGAATAGAAAGTTAGAAAGATACTCATGGTCACGTCTTATTTTCTTGTAATTGTGGTTTGATTGTTATAGTTCACATCTAACGAAATGCATTCACTTCAACTTTTATCTTCAACTTTCAAGTTTTAATTAAAGTTGCTTTCTTTTCTCTGTTAGAAGATATACATCTTACTCTTGGCTGTAATGATATCTTCCAGTTTTATATACTAGTGGAACTACCTGCTGTTGAAATAATGAGTGAAAACTTCATCGATGATTTAATTTGATTTTACAATTTTGTATTGAATAATGAAGAATTAGTTCAATAAGACATGACAGGTATGTATAAGGCTAACAGTCGTTGAGCACACAAAAGGACTTGAACACAAATACGATTTTTATTTGTTTCTTCTTTCACTCAATGTCTAATGATGATGATAATATGATAAGTGTTTAGTAATATCAAATTCCTTCGTCCTCGAAATATACTTCATTATGTATAATCTGTGTGTTGATGAGTGATTCATCTTGATGAGATCTATCACATACTATATGACGATCTCTGATAATAATCCTTTTTTTTGCAACAATAGCTTCAGTGATTCTTTCTGTTCACAAAAAAAGTGATTACTGCACTAATACATATCCGTCAAAGTATAGGGCAGATAATATTCTCACAATCCCATCCTATATCTATAATCGAGTCTTCTACCAAATTACCATGTTTATTAAAGTTAGCACGTTTTCTATGCTGAATTGCATTTTAAAGCTTAAAATGACATGATCTTTAATGTAAATATTTCAGAGAGTAGAATTGATCGATGATACCTTAGGTTACGAAACAATATCATCAGACATTTCTGCCTAAAAATGCATTTTCTTCTCCGACTGATACTTATTGTTTAGTTTAAAGCCATGATAGTATTTATAGGTAAACATTTGACTGAGTAAACATCAAAAGTTATGCCTGAATACTTTATTGTATTATTCTCACACACAAACACACATTTAATTTAGACCATAAGCACACGTGGAGCATTTTTTTGACAAATCTTATCGAAATGATTTTTGTATGTTCTAAAGAAAAATGTTCCAAACGTGAAACAAATGATTAATCAGTCAACCATTTTATTCAACTGTTCACTCGGACGTATTTCGTATCTATTCTTTTAATTGTTGTTCGATTGATTGCCCTGTTATTCGCTGACTACTTGATCCACCCAAAATTTCGGGTCCACCTTGTCCCGGAATTTTACTTCCACCATGATCTACTTTACTACCATTGCTTGCATCTGCCTCTTTCACATGATCTTTGCCTAAATGAATTTGTCCATCCGCATAACCAATTGGATGTTGAATATCACTAGCTTTCTTGGACATAACAACAGATCTATAGAGAGCGAAAAATTCTGATCTCGTAAGCAAAGAGTATTTAGATCTTTAAATCAATGCTTTCCCGGCAACATGGTATGGTATGTGTAGTTCTTTGTACCATGAAAAGAAAAATCCTTTCTTTTTTTGAAAAACAAAGATGTATTTTTGCTTTTTTTGTATGCAAATATATTATCCATTTCAAAATAGAATGCCATCGGTTGTTTTTTGAATAACTTTCGAACGAAAAGAGCTAGAGAGTTCGGATTTTCATTGTTTTTGTAGGAAAATCTTTGCTCTATCTTATGATCTGTGGGAGCATGAAAACCTCGAATTTTCAGGCGGTGTACCTGGCATGTGAGAAGAGATTACCTGGTACTGAAACCAAAATAATTTATTCACTCAAAGTACATGGTTGAATAGCTCAAAGTGTCCTCTACAAAACTACGCAACTCCGAGGTTGCTACCTGTCAGCCTTTCGGATCTACGGCAATTTTGCTGAGACCTATCTCATGGCAATGTTAATTTTCAAAATAAAATGGAAGAACCAAGTGAAAACTTATGTTGGGTGAAATAATCCGTTTCATCAAAAATTAAAAAATTCATAACTCGGTCGAAAATCATTCAAACTACTTCAGAATATCAGCATATGCTCTATTTTATCTGTAGTATACTGTAAAGGTCAGTAAATGTTTTAAAAACCAACAGAAAATACTTTGGTTTTTGAAAGGCTTCCAGAAACCTTCAGAACCAAGAGAATATTTTTTAGTGATC